AGTCGCGACAAACAAGAACCAAGGATGCACTGAGGGAAGCAGAGAAATGCGCCTGAGGAGAAAATGGGAAATACCCGTGGGGAGGACAAGTCTATCTCTCAGTGTCGGCTGAGGTCAATCATCTGACCCAAGTGGGGGGGATGGAGAAGGAGCGAACTCGTCAATCCGTCCGGTCGTCGGTGTGGTTCCGAGTTGATCCCGTCCCGATTTTGGGGCTGAAATTGGGGTGATATTTATACTGAAAATTTTACATGACATCACCAGGGTGTACGTGGGGGTGGGGATGACTATAGACCATCTTATCACTTAGGTTAACACCACAAAGTCTGTCAGTTTACACCTGCATGGGGGGAGGGGGTGGCTCCTTTTGTTCAGGGTAAAGAGAATGGGGGACTGGGACCACGAGGCCTCCACACACACACACACACACACGCTCCTCCGGGCAATCCACAGAACACCAGATCCCGATCTAGGGCTGGTTGCCCCCTTCCCAGTGCTTGCCACTCGCTGAATTTCATGCCTCCAGGCGTGCAGCTACATGGTGTTCGTAACTCAGACTTTGGGATTAACTTTGCGCTCTCTCTACAATGTGCTAAGAAATGACATCAGCAACGCTGATCCTTGGGGATGCTCCCACTGATCCTTGGGGATGCTCCCGCTGATCCTTGGGGATGCTCCCGCTTAGGAGCTGCGTGCTGGGAGTGCTGGTGCTCATTTTACCGTTACACAGCCCTCGGGGGCAGGGGCTTCCCTCGGCGTCTGTCTCTGTGGGACTCGGTGGAAATCGGGTGTTTTCTTTCCCTTGAGAAAGTGCCAGAATAAAAGTATTTTTTTATAAGGATCATAGTTCTTTGCCCTCCAAAGGTGAAGATGCTGACCGTGGAGAAGAAGGTGAACGAGATCCTGAACCGGCTAGAGAAGACCAAAGTCGAGCGCTTCCCAGACCTGGCTGCTGAGAAGGAAGCCCGGGACAGAGAGGAGAGAAATGAGAAGAAAGCCCAGATCCAAGAGATGAAGCGGAAGGAAAAAGAAGAGATGAAGAAGAAGAAAGAGCTGGAAGAGCTTAGGTGAGTCATAAATCGTAGTGCCAACGAACTTCTGCGGTTGCGGGGGGGGGGAAACTGGGCGAGCCGGTGTTAACTGGAACGCGTGTGAGCGCTCAGTCGCACGCTCCCCGAGACGCAGGAGCGAGGGCTGGTGGTCTGAAACGTCCTGTGGACCTTTCTGTCCGTGCCCCAAGAGCTCACTCGTAAGCTTTAGTGAGTCGTGGTTGTCTGTAAATGGCGGTGAAACTGGAATTCTGGGGTTTCCTGGGTGGTTCAACCCATGGGGACCTCGGGGAGAAAGGCTTAGGGAAGCAAAGTGAGCCGAGGAGAAGTCACCGCGGGCGTGTCTGTGCCGAGGGGCCCGGCTGCTTGTTCAACCTGCCCCGGAGCTGCCCCTTGGCCGTCCCCCAAAGCAAAGGATTTTCTACCCTCTGGTAGTTCTGGAAAAAAACCTGTGGAGGCGTCTGCGTAGTGCCTGGGTTTTGTCTGGTGGTTTTAATTAACCAAAGAGTGTGAGATGAGCAGATCCTGCTCCAGCCGCCCCGAGCTCAGAAAGGGAAAAAAATTGGGGTTTTTTCTGGTCCTCGGTCCTGTTTTATCAGAACGATGGGGTTTGAAAACGTGGCGTGTGCCGGATAACGTGGTGTCTCTTCCAGGAGCTACTCGTCGTTAATGAAGGCCGAGAACATGTCCTCCAACCAGGTGAGATGGCCCACGGGAACCTTCCGGAGGCGGTTCCCGCCATGCAGCCTGGTGTCGGCGGTTCCTGCCCGTCACAGAGCACGTCTCCCTCGGCCCTTCCCGGGGAAGGACGTTGCCACCTTCCTCCTCTTCCTGAGCGGGGCCCCGTGTCAGCCGGGAGGAGCCTGTGCTGCTGGAAACGGGCGCAGAGGCCTCCCAGTCCCCTTCCCACCTCCCCAGTAGAGCTTGAAGTCGGCACCAGACGTGAGCTGGTTGGGCTTGTGAGCAGGGGAGGTCCACCCGGTGGCAACCGTGACCTCCACGTGCCACCTTGGTACTTCAAGGGAGGGAGGGGGGAAAATGCACATTTTTAGCAAGAAATAAAGTGGAGGTTTGGGGAGGGATCGGTGTAGGTGCTGGGGGGCAGAAGGGGAAGCTCGAAGGGACGCGCCTGGGGCTGGAGCCGTGTGACGGGGCTGCAGTCTGGCGGTGGGAAAGGAGCCAAAGCGGAGAGGAACGGGAGGGAAATGGTGGAGAGCAGCTCAGGCCGTGCTGCAGGGATGGTCCGGGGAGCTGCTGGGGAGAGCC